TCTGGTAGCAAAGCAAATACGTGTATCTTCCTGAGACCATTAGCATGTCAAAACTGCAGAGAGTTTTTATGGGAAAACAGTTTAGTAGAACACCCCAATGCTAAATATGGGAGCACTGCAGAAGTCTAGGTTTGAAATACTTGTAAAGCTGGATTTGAGTTCTAGCCAGTTCACAGGTGTTTTGGATGAGTGAACATAAGATTTATGTGCAGGCTGAGCATGCTGTCAGCTGAGGACACATAAAAACAGGATGAAACAAACATTACATGAGATTATGCTAATAAAGCGTTGCTTGTTCTGGCACAGATTGCCTTCCAGGCAATATTTGTGAATTAACTTAATGATTTGGAAACAAGCACTGAGAATTATGACTGTGAATGTCAGCCAGCAGATCCATGGTATACTGGTGAGACACTGATTGAGAGGGAAGAGAGACTAACCATGTTGAAAGACAGATTCAGTAAACAGTGTCTTCACTTCATCCTGAGAACAGAATTTAGGGTTACACCATAATAACATTGAACCACCCAGTTCTTCTGAAAAATATTAGACTTTATCCATCTGACGATTTTGAGCCTTGACCTGAAGGTATCAAGTGTTCCTACACAGAAGCAGATTCAATAGTTTTAATACATCTGTTCTCAGATCTAAAGTTATGAAAGAAATGATGCAAACTAAGCAACATTACTATGCAGTATCCTTCAGCATGCAGTAGTGGCACAGACTCTGATCAAAGTATACATTCTGGGGGCTTGGGTTATTTATTTTTTATTTTATTGTCAGATTTCTACCCCGCGCTCCCAGCCGAGGGCAGCTCAGGGCAGCTTACATAAAACAGTGCATAAATTACAGTAAAAACAATTAAAACACTTAAAAATTACTACAACCAATTGATGACATAATAAGTGCTAGTATTATTGTCCTTAGTTGTTGCTTCAGCGATGGCTGCTGTACTCAGTTCTCTCTCCAGATGATCGGCTCTCAGATCTCCTTCAAACGTCATTGAAGCCATTGGCACTGGCCGTTGTTAAAAATTCCAGGGACACAGGGCTCTCTATCCTACTGCTGTTAACTATTGATGATATTTAGCGGTGGCAGCAGCTCCAAAGGACTGGTGGAAGAGCTCCATTTTACAGGTCCTGTGGAACTGTAAGAGGTCCCGCAGGGTCCTGATCTCTACTGGGAGCTCATTCCACCAGAACGGAAATGCCACTGAAGTCCTGGCCCTGGTTGTCACCAGCCTGGCCTCCTTGCAGCTCAGGAGAGCCAGCTGGTTCTCGGCCCCTGAATGCCGTGCTCTCTGGGAAACATATGGCAAAATGTGGTCCTTCAGGTATGTAGGCCCCAGACCTTAAAGGTCAAAACCAGCACCTTGAAACGAATTCGGTATGCTATTGGCAGCCAGTGCAATGCCTTTAGGACCAGCTGGATGTGCTCCTGAGTTGGGAGTCCCATCAACAGCTTGCCCGTGGCATTTTGCACCAGCTGTAGCTTCTAGATTTGAGAGAAGGGCAGCCCCATGTAGAGAGCATTACAGTAGTCCAATCTTGAGGTGACCATTGCATGGATCACTGTCACCAAGTCGTTAGTTCAAGGAAGGGAACCAACTGCCTAATCAACCGAAGATGATACAAGGCCAAGTTGGCAGCGGCTGCTACCTGGGCCTCCATTGTTAAGGAGGCATCCAGGAGCACTCCCAGACTCCTAACCTCTGGTGCTGGAACCAAAGGAGCCCCATCAACGGTCAGGAGTGGGATCCCTACCCCCAGACTGCCCCAGCTCAGGCACAGGACCTCCATCTTAGATTCAATTTCAGCCAGCTCAGTCTGAGCCAGCCAGCCACGGCTTGTAACCCCTGGTCTAGGTCTTCTGGTTTGGAGTTGGACTGACCGGCCAACAACAGAGCTGGGTGTCGTCCGCATACTGGGGACATCCCAGCCCATATCTCCGGGCAATCTGGGCAAGGGGGCACATGTTGGAACGCATCGGAGATAACACCACCCCTTGAGGCACTCCACAATCCAGTGCATGTTTCTGGGACAGTTGTTTCCTCAGTGTCACCCTTTGTCTCCAACCTTGAAGGAAGGAAGCAAGCCACTGCAAGGCCAGTCCCTGAACCCCAGTGTCGGCGAGGTGGTGGATCAGTAGCTGATGGTTGACCATGTCGAACGCTGCCAACAGGTCTAACAACAACAGCACTGCCGATCTGCCCTGATCCAGATGCCCCTGGGGGTCGTCCGTGAGGGTGACCAGTGTCGTTTCCATCCCATGGCCCGGGCAAAAGCCAGACTGGAAGGGATCTAAGATGGAAGCATCATCCAAGAAGCTGTACTGCCACAGCCCTCTCTATTATCTAGCCCAGGTAGGGCAAGTTAGAAACTGGCCGATAATTGGCCAATTTGGCTATGTCCAAAGATGGCTTTATCAAGAGAGGGCAGACCACTGCTTCTTTAAGTTCCCCAGGGAACTGCTCCTCCAATAGGGACTTGTTGATAATTTCCCATAGGGCACCTCAAAATCCCTCGTGGCCAGCTTTAATTAGCCACAAAGGACACGGATCAAGGGAGCAAGTGGTAGGGCGCACAGTTAAGAGCAACTTGTCGACTTCCTCCAGGCTGAGTGGGCCGAAGTGATCCATAATCTGACTGGCGTGCATGGAGCCTCAAGTTCACTCACTGTGTCAACGGTGGTGGGGAGGTTGCAGCAGAGCGACAAGATTTTATCTGCAAAATAGCTCACAAAAGCCTCGCAGGCAGTGTCCAATTCCCTAGCATTTGGACTGCCTTGTGGTAAAGCAGTAATAGACCGAATCATTCTAAATAATTGGGCTGGGCGTGAGCTTGCAGACGCAATCGCGGCCGTATAATATTCTTTCTCAGTGGCTTTGATTGCCATCCTCTATAAGCTCATCTAACGAGCTGCCTGGGGACTTTGGATCTCGAAGAGCTATCTGAAGCCGCATAGGGTCCATTTTGCTCCATGGGTGAGACAAAATAGACTTGCCATCCAAACAAGGCTGGAGTAGGACATTCAGACGGGTTTTCAGGACAAAGTGGTCCAACAATGATACTGCCAAGGAAGCAATCCGGTCCACTGTAACGCCCGCCACAAAGATCAGATCAAGCTTGTGCCCAGCCTGGTGAGTGGGAGTCGTTACAAGTTGAGAGAGTTCCAGTGCAGCCATGGATGACACCAGGTCCATTGCCTGAGTAGAGGTTGCATCATCAGCATGGACTTTGAAATCACCCAGAGCTATCAGTCTAGGGTGTACCAGTACCCAGCCTGATATGGCCTCCACCAGGGACGGTAGGCTATCAGCCGGTGTATTGGGCAGTCAGTACACCAACCAAATTGCCAAACACTCCCAGGCTTCCCACACTAAGCCAGCACACTCAATGCGGCGACAGGAGTGCCCTGAAGGAGTAAGCCTCCCGAATGAATAGGGCCACTCCACCCCCCCACACCCAGTCCACGATTGGTGAAGGACTGAAAACCAGGGAGGAGCCAACTGAGAGAGAGCTACCGTTTTTCCCTCTTGCACCGAGGTCTCAGTCACGCATGCCAGGTCTACATTTTGCTCCTGCAGAAAGTCCCGAAGGACCATGATCTTATTACTTAAAGACCTGGCGTTATACAACACAAATGTCGGGGGGGGGGTCAATCATCCTAGCCGCACAACCTACTGCCTTCAGGATGGGACACAGGCTGGAAGGGGGCCGAACTACTCTACTTCTCCGTCCCCTTCCCTTAACTCCATGTCTGGTCCCACCGCTGTACTTTCCTCTCCCTAGGAGCACTGGAATTGCATGCCCAATCATCACCTCATCTGCCACTCTTCGCCAGCTGTAAACCAGCTGTAAGCCTCAGGCCGGCTGAAAACGTCAATCAGCCAAGCTAGTCTTTCAACAGCAGATAACATTTTTCAACGTTAATGGTACCAATCTGAGAAACATAAATATAAAACAATTTCACTTCAATAAAAAGTGCAAGAACCCCAAATAATTCAAAGTAAACTGCTTTTGGGGGGGTCTCTTTGGGGGGGACAAAAATTGATTTATTGTTCATTTGTATACTGTTTTATTTGTATACTGTTTTAACAAAAATGTTAATTAAAAAAAAACAAAAAAGTGATTATTGCAATTTTCCTCTTCTTCCTGGGACTTCTGTGAAGGGAAGATGTGTTTCAAAATAACTGTTTGGGGGCTCTGCTGGATTTTTGTCAAGCAAATTTTCAGAATGTGTTTGGAAAGGTCACCCTTGCTCAATTTAGATCATCCACCCTTCAAGAGTATAAATACAGCCATCAAAATTTTATTTTAGTTAACTTGTCACAAAGTTTTGTTATTCCTTCTATATATTCTTTATCTGAAATTATATGATTTTGGTGTTCGCTCAGCACATGACATTTTGTGCCTTGTAAACAAATTTTCAGGATAGGAGGAGGATTGTTTCACTGGAGGCCAGCATTACACATTTTCTCCCTCAGCATCCAACTAAAATACATGCAGATGGAAGGGATGCCATGCTCTTTTCTATTGGAAGTACCTATACCAACTTTATGCAATGTGTACTGCATTACAAGACATATCATGTTAAAGTTTTATGGCTGAGTAGGCATCTTATTTCTTCACTTTCAGTTGCAGTACTGGAAGCTGGCTAGAAATATCTGTGCAGGTCTTAAGAGGCATATGTGTTAATTGAGTTGATTACTTTTCTTCTCCCTGCTTGATTGTTCAATTTGTTCTTAGTCTAGCTAATTCTTCTGCTGCTTTTGTGAAGATTTTTTTGTCATTGTTCAGAAAAATAACTTTAGAGTCCCTGAATATCACCATTACTCAACTGAAAAGTGCAGTATATCTTGGTTAAATATCTTGCTAGTGCAGTTTAATTCTTCCATTGCCACCCCACACAAAGTTGCTATGTAATCACATTGCATGAGCCACATTATAATGTCAAACATTAAAAAATATATGTATGTCTATATGCTTGTAATCCTGCAGATGTATCTTGTGATTTTTCCTGAGGGAACACGTTATAATCCAGAGCTCCCAAAAGTCATTGCAGATAGTCAATCATATGCTGATAAAGAAGGTAAGTGAAATTCAGATAACTTTGAGAAGAGTGAAGGAAACTGGATAAGAGAAGTACATAAATACAAGAGAAACAGACTTTATTGCCAGATTCTATGGCTTTAAAAGAAGACCAGATCAGCTAGTTACCCTGTAAACAGTGTTTAATAATATCAGTTGTAGTCACTGTCTTGCCATGATGTTCACTAGTCCTTTGTTGAATAACTTTCTGCACAATTTTATGAAACAGCTAGTACCTCAAAAGAAAATTAGAAATAGTTGCATGGAGCAAGGTGATACCTCACTTTAATATAATTAAATTTAATAAAAGCATAGTATGGCACCTTAGTAACATATAAATAAACTAGGAATAAGGACCGTTGTGGAAATAAATACAATGAGCTCTAGAAAGAGGCTCTGGGCGGGTGTATAATAACACAGAACTGTTTTCTCCAGGGGAACTGATCTCTGCCATCTGAAGAGCAGTTGTAATTCTGAGTGATCTCTATCCCTCCCTTGGAGATTGGCAGCAATGGTTCCCCAGGAGGAAATGGCTGGTTTGGAGGGTGGAGTTTGGCATTGCTCCTGTCTGAGGACCCACCCCTCCTCAAACTCCACACTCTCCAAGCTCCACCCTTCAAATCTCCAGGAATTTCCCAACCTGGAGCTGACAACCCTATCTCCTTCCCATCCAACCATCAACCTACCTTTATTTGCCCCTCTGACTTCAGTTTTCCATCTCCCTACCTGGAACCTCTACCTAGGAAAACTACAGTCTTTCTCCTCTGCAGTGGGGACCCAAGCAGGATGGGAAGCAACCTCAGCAGGGTATAATGACACAGAGTCCACCCTGCTAAGCAGCTGTTTTCTGCAGGGGAGCTGATCTCTGCCATCAGGATAGCAGTTTTAATTCTGAGTGATCTCCAGCCCTCACCTGGAGATTGGCATCAATGGCTCCCCAGGAGAAGTACAGTCTTTCTCTGCAGTGGGGACCAAAGCAGCTTAGATCATTCTCCTCTCCCCCTTTTGATCCACACAACAACCCTGTGAGGTAGGTTAGGCTGAATGTGATTGGTCCAAAATCACCCACTCCGCTTCCACAGCAAGAACCTGGGTCTGGCAGACCCTGCTCTGAAGTGCTAACTGCTACACCTAGGGTAGCCAGCCTCCAGGTGGAGCCTGAAGATCGTCAGGTATCACAACTGAACTCCAGACAACAGATCTCTCTCTCCCTCTGGAGAATATAACTGCTTTGAAGGGTGGATTCTGTGGCATTCTATTCAGCTATGCTGCCATGGTTGGTGGTGGGGTAAGGGAGTCTGTAAAGTGAACATCTTATTGTCCTGGAATGTTAACTTGCACTTCCTCACTGTGCCCTATCTGGTTGCCTGATCTTGATGCTTTGCGCTCTTGCCTCCCTGGGAACTTGAGCTCATTACTTTAAGCACGCAAGGCTTGCACCTCTGATTGGCTTGCCCCCATCAGAGGGTCACATTTCAAACGCAGTATATCTTCCCCCTTCCCGCTTGTGGGGCTAGCCTTTACACAGAAACTGTACGCACAGATGACCTGCTTCTACTGAACTCAATAAACTTGATCCTTCTGGAAGGAACGTTGTTGAGCCTGTTTGTTGTAGGACTCTGACACTGAGGCCTCTCCCCTCCCCAAACTCTGCTTCCATAGACTCCACCACAAAATATCCATGAATTTCCCAACCTGGGGCTGGCAACCCTAGTCAGGACTGGCCCCAATGAGCTCCTCACAAAGGCCAAAGAAGGCCGGGAAAGGATCTCCTGGCTTTGCCTTTTTACTGACAGAACCAAGCTTGGTTGCCTCGCAACAGCCACTGAGGGAAAAGTTAGCCCCCCAGGAGGAGGAGAAGAGAATGGCTGGTGGCCCACCTCAGTAGCAAGCCAGCAACAGGAAAACTATCTTCGTCAGGAGAGACAGCCATTTTGGCAGTTTATTCAGTGAGGGAAGAGTGTCCAGACTGGCAGTGGGTGGGGGAGAGGAGCAGACCCAGCACCCAGCCAATGGTACACAAGTACTCTTGAGTGACAGTTGATGGACCAACGGCTGATGGAGCGCACAGCACAGCTAATGGGAGAGCCAGAAAGTGCCAGTACGTTGGGCTTTTTTAAATAGATAGATAGTTGTTAGCCCTTCTCCTGAGCATCTCAGGACCCAGGTCAAGTAACATTAAGACAACAGTTAAAAAACCAACCTATGGACTTCCGGTTTTTGGCAACTTGCAAGCGGGTGTGCTCCATCATAGCTCCGATGTGAGCGCCCCGCAAACATGCAGATGTGGGGGGTCCAAGTTGATCTTGGACCCCCCAGGCCACCTGGAGGGGGGCCACAGCCTGGGGTGCGAGAGGTGCCTCTCTCAAGGCGGAAGCCAAAGGATTGAGGCACCTTTTTGCCCCTAAAGGCCCCCACAGCACGGAGCCAGCATGGCATCAAGAGGCACACACTGGACAGAGTGCACAAGGATCCTAAGGAATTATCTTCTCTACATATGCAACGAACGCAAGTACGAATGTGAGTGAAGCTATGACCCAGCAAAGAATCGATAAAACGTTAGCAGCAAAGCCGTCCCAAAGCCCCCAAAAAGCTGAAGGGGGAGGGGAATGCCCGATCCTGAAAAGACTGAATTTAAAGCAGGAGGCAGAAAGGGGCGGCTTGAAGGAAGCGGATTATGATGGAGTGTGTGGCAGACTAGCCAGAAAGCGATAAATCACCAGACTTACGGAGAACTTTTAAACTTCTTGTGTAAACAATGATGCAGCGAGCAGAATAAATGGTGCCTAAAACGAAACTTATAACAGGAACAGTCAACACATCATCACCGGCTACCAGACCGGAAGCAACCACAGACTTTCCCAAACTGATTGCTGCAGCTTTACGCCCTCTTCTGGACCAGATGACCACCTTAGCAACAAGCTTGTATACATTGCAAAAGGAACTCAAAACTAATTTTATTTACACTATAGTGTTTATTGTCAATGTATAACTTTAAAATTAAGATGCTCAACTACAGCCAAATATGTTTGTGATTGTTTGCCTTTTAATTTGATATTTTTGTAATATCTCTCACGCTTTACTTTTCTGACAAAAGAGATGTATCAATAACTTTAAACTTTTGTAATAATGATCCGTGGTACTCTAGTTTTAGGCTGTTCCCATTCCCCGATCCTGTAGTGTAGTTTTAGAAGAGCAATTAAAAATGTATTTAAAAAAACAAAAACCAACCTATGGAAACCTTGTTCCCCTTTTACCCAGGCTCAGACTGCTCTTAAAGTTCTCCAGAATAGTTCTGTTTTGCAGCGTTGCTTGAAAGCCAGGACTATAGGAGACCCCCTGAGTTCTTCCAGGAGGCAGCTTCAGTGGCATGAGGCAACCACAGCAAGCTCAAGGCTGGACTGTTGATGAATTTGCCCTAGACATTGGGGGTATTGACAATAAACCTTGCTGGGAAGGATTAAGCTGTAGTGTGGGGACATGCAGGGAGAGGCAATCCTTCAGGTATGTGGGCCCTAAGTAATGCGTCACTTTAAATTTGAGTTCCAACAGCTTTAAAGGTGAACACCAGTTGGACTTAGAAACTAATCAGCTGGCTTAACATGAGCTGGGAGTAGGAATAACATGATCCACTAAGAATTACATTGAAAGCTGCACTCCATCCGTGGTAGGAAGAAAAATGTCTTAAGTAGAGGAAGTTGTAGAACAATGGTCAGTAACTAAACTGGCCAGCAAACCAGTCTGCTGCAGAGCAATGACCAATGGACTATCTTCCCACCCATCACTTTGGTAGCTGGCCCCACCAGGATCTATTAATGGAGTGGAGAAGTTGAATGGTGGTGTTTCCATCACCCTCTTGAATTTAGATGTGCAGCAGCAGCTCCAAAACATTCTAGCTAGGTTCTGCTGGCTGGACTACAGATCTTTAAGGCAGAACTTTTGTCAGTTATTGCTTGGCCAACCTGTGGTCCAAGTGTCCAACCTGGTAGAACTCTGCTGAGTAACACCCATGCCCTGCGGGATCTGATGCAGTTCCACAGTGCCTGTAATTGAATTTTTTAAAAATTTTATTGTAATTTTAAATGTTTTTTTATTTATATATGTTTGCTTTAATATGCTGTTGTACACTGTCCTGAGCCCTGTTGCAGGGAATGGGTGATATAAAAATTGAATATAATAAATTAAATAAATAAATTTAATGTCTATTGGTGGCCTTGAAACTACAGATGGAGTTTCTTTGGTTGGTTGGTGAATAAATGATACTTTTGCCCTTCACCCTTTCCAGTGCAAATCCTTTTATTTCACCCAGCAGAGTTTGGCTGGAAAGTGCTATGGTTCATGGCAGGACTCCCTCTGGTCAGTGTGGACACTTTGGTGTCTGCCCTCAGGCCCCCAGTTTACTGACCCCTGGTGTGTAATGTTCTTAGCCTCTCTTCCCCCCCCCCCCTTCTTTTTTCACACATGAAAAATCTATCTAGATTCACTGGGACTATCAAATGTAAAGCAGATGTACTAAACAGTTAAAGAACGCTTTTGCTTGAAGAGGTCAGTCTTTTATGCTGCAGGTCTAATATCACCCTGGTTAGGTTACCTTGCCTTCTTGGGTAGCCATTTCCTACTGGATATAGTTCAAACCAACTAATGAATGCCTTGCTTTGTCATCTTTTGTGTCATCTTTTGTACTCTTGAGTGCACCTGCTCTTTGCTGGGATGATGCATAGGCAAATCAGTAAGTCCCTACCACTAAAAGACAGAGTGTATGCCGGTGCAGCAAGTCTTTGGGAAGTAAATTTATACTGTCAATTATCATACTTTGTATATGAAGATAAGAGAGCTGGTTTGCCATATCCATAGCATATTCTTTTAATCAGATATCCACTTGATTTAGCATTTTAATAGCATCTAGTCTGAGAAGCTTGGGGTGGGGGGCATGAAAGACAAAAGCCTGTTTATGGGTTGGATCCTGCAGAGAATTTCTGTTAACAGAAGAATGGAAGTTTT